TGCACGGGGGCGTCTTCTGGAGCCGCGGCCTGGAAGAGCAGGTGCCCCGCGGCTTCTCGGAGGCCCAGGCGGCGGCGTGGCTGCAGGCGGCGCGCGGCGCCCGGGTGGGGGCCCTGGAGCGCGGGGGCTGCGGGCGCAGCTCCAACCGGCTGGCGCGCTTCGCCGACGGCACCCGCGCCTGCGTGCGCTACGGCATCAACCCCGAGCAGATCCAGGGCGAGGCCCTGTCCTACTACCTGGCGTGTCTGCTGGGCCTCCAGCGCCACGTGCCGCCGCTGGCACTCTCCCGGGTGGAGGCTCGGGGCGCCCAGTGGGCGCAGGTGCAAGAGGAGCTGCGGGCGGCGCACTGGACCGAGGGCAGCGTGGTGAGCCTGACGAGCTGGCTGCCCAACCTCACGGACGTGGTGGTGCCCGCGCCCTGGCGCTCCGAGGACGGCCAGCTGCGGCCCCTGCGCGCCGCCGGGGGCGAGCTAGCCAACCGCAGCCGGGAGGAGCTGGTGGACCTGGTGCAGTGGACCGACTTGATCCTCTTTGACTACCTGACGGCCAACTTCGACCGGCTCGTCAGCAACCTCTTCAGCCTGCAGTGGGATCCGCGCGTCATGCAGCGCGCCCCCAGCAACCTGCACCGCGGCCCCGGCGGGGCGCTGGTCTTTCTGGACAACGAGGCGGGCTTGGTGCACGGCTACCGGGTGGCGGGCATGTGGGACAAATACAATGAGCCGCTGCTGCAGTCGGTGTGTGTGTTCCGAGAGCGGACGGCGAGGCGCGTCCTGGAGCTGCACCGCGGCCAGGACGCGGCCGCCCGGCTGCTGCGCCTCTACCAGCACCACGAGCCTCGCTTCCCGGAGCTGGCTGAGCTCGCCCATCCCCATGCTCAGCTACTACAGCGCCGCCTCGACTTCCTTGCCAAGCACATTTTGCACTGTAAGGCCAAGTACGGCCGCAGACCTGGGACTTAGGATCACCGTGAGGAAGAGAGAGCGAGCGAGAGAAACCCCTGGCCGGGGAAATGGATGATGGGGGAAGGGCTGTCGCCTCTGCCACCGCCTGGGACCAGCCAGCCAACGCCCTGCCAGTGGCTTGAGCAAGAAGGCTGCTGGAAACTTCAGTTTCACCTACCTGCCCCCTTTCTCTCTGTCTCAAAGCTGTTTCCTTTCAAAGTTCTGGGAGAACTCACCCAGGTGAGAAGTGTAACATCCCCTCCACCCGGCTTATAAAAGCATTCTTCCCTGTGGTAGCAGGGAGTTTGAAACTGGCTGCCTGAGTTTGGCCCCCCCGTGGCTGTCTCTGTGGGAGATGCATCCTTATTCCTCGACCTCCTCCTCTTTCCCAAAAAGGGAAACTTCTATTTGAGCCTTTGAGCTCATCCTGCAGTTTTCTACCAAACGCAGCGCTGGCGGCCAGAGGCGGCTGTGACATTGGCTGGTGGAGCCCCCTTCCTGTGTTCTCCCTTTGTTCCAGCTGGTGATGGTGAGATCACTGTTCAGAGCTGGGGAACGGATCCGGATAAGACAAAGAGATCAGGACCTCCAGAACCTGGGGAGCCCTGCAGACTCTGTGTATCTGACTTGTTCTTTACCGCTTGTCATTTTGGCCTGAAGGCTGCAAGTGTGGGACTGGCTGGCTGGCTGTGTGCACTGAATCACATAATGCATTTCTTCCCCCTTTCCCCCAATCGACCAAAATTTTGACAATGATGATGTTCACCAGAAGAAGAAAAAAATCAGTTTCATGCACTTTACTTTGTTTTTATTTTAATTTTGTATTGAGAAAAAAAACTTTTTTATTTGACAAAATTTGCCTACTATGTATATATGTGATAAAGTGTGGGTGTAAATATACTAAACAAACTTATATTTCAATAAAAGGGAGTTTAAAATTTAGAACTTAATTCCTGATGGTTTTAACTGTTGGAGGTATCTGATGCCCTGTCTGGTTTTAGAATGAGTTTTAGGGTTTCTCCTTTATGGATGCGCTTTTAAAACAAACAACTCACTTGTGACTATGGAACTTACAGAATTAATTGAACAAAGACAAGAACAGATTCCCTGTTCTGCTCACTCCAATGAACCCTAGTGCTGGAAATTTCAGGTTTCAGCATAGCCTGTGGGGGAAGATGGAGAGAGAGGGGAAAGTATTCTATTTCCTAGCAAATAAAACTTTGATATAAAGGGATTTCACTGTAATATATTCCTATATTAATCATGTGGCAACTATGATAGAACCAGATGTGCAGACTATAAGATGACAAATTCCCCCTTTTTAAACTTAACTACAGTGGTCACATGTTGCACATTGTTTGCAGCATTGTAATTACCGTGCATCACAATGTGTACAAATAATAAGCTGGACACATTGCGAACAGGTAGAGAAAGTCGTAAATTAATTCTTCTCTTTAATCTCCTGACATAAATTCCATTGCATCCAGGAGATCATAATCTCCAACATCTGGACTCAGCATCCAGCTCTGTTCAGAGATGATACTGTTTATTTTTCCAGGTCGTAATAGCACGGTCCCCTCAGAGCAGCCATTGGGAGACCGGGGGAAAAAGTGTGCAGTGCTTTGTATTTGACATTTGGCCTCTGCTTCTTGGGGACTTTAAATTTAGAAAATATTTTTGGATTGTCTTAAACTTCTTTTGACCCATGGAGGAGGGGAAAAGTGGCTTTTTGTTTTACAAGCCATTGGTGTTTTATCTTGGCATTTTATTTGATGTCTGGGTCCAAGTGATCTTGCCTGTTATCTTTCGTTTTATGTAATGACCTTTAACTCCAAAGTAAACTTTTGTTTACTTTAAAATGTCTTCTTTGACTAGTATTTATAAACCTGGAGTTTTATAGACTCCTGAAGATATTAAATCTCTGTGGGTTCCCTTCTCACTCTGCATGGCAACACAGCGTGTAACTTAACTACAATTTAATGCCACCCTTATGTTTCAGTGCCTTAAGCTGAGCCAAATCTTATCTCAACTGAAAAAAAAATAGAATCCATAAACTTTGTAGTGATAGCCAATTTTTTTCATAATATAGCCACAATGTACTGGTAATGACAAATATATCTTTTTTCAATACAATGTTAGAGAGAGACCTCCGATAATTACCTTTCAAAAAGAAACATTTTCCATTTCTGATAACCAATAAATAACTCTATGAGATTTGCTGCCTAAGTCAAGGGAGGCTGCTCCGAGGGAAGGATAACTATTCAGCAACCTGCATTTTTACCCGTCGTGGTCCTCAAGGAAAACCACGACCAGAGATAAGTTCAAAGTTTCACAGATTGTGCATGAAATACACCCTGACTCCCATCTCATTTCTACACTGGTGAGTTCTGGGCCAACAGCATTCTCCACATTCCTCCTAAACTTCAGCTCC